TATGATTAATCAAAGGTGGTCTCTCATCTGTAATCAGCAATAATACAAACAGACTGATTAGGGCTGTAACGATACACGATATAAAATCGAAATCGCGACACTCAGATCTACGATCCTGTGTCGCGGTGTGATAAGGGAGAATCGCGACACACCCCGTGACTACCTTTCCAATAACGTCACACGTGCCTGCAAAAGTTCAGCTAGTTGAAGAAGAACATGAGGAAACACTTTTTTCCGCTCGACATTACGAGCACTGCTCCGTTTAAGCCCTCGCAATTAGCGTTTAACCTGGAGAGCTCGCACAGAGCTCTTAGTAAGGGACCATCTGAATGTGTCAGGAATATCAAAAACAAAACCAACTTAACCCCTCTTGACAACCGACAACGGCAGAAACATTGCCAGTGCTGTCAAAGCATTGTTGTTAATGTGGCTGCGCAGAGAGGGATGGGCGTTCACCAGATGCCCCGACTCCTCTGCAGAGGAAACTTTTCTGTAACCGTGCTCTGCGCTTTCTGTTTGAACCTTTGAGAGGTAACGTTACGTGCTGACTGACAGCGCGATGCGTGAGGCCAGGAAACAGGACAAAGCTTTCAGTTAAGATGAACACAGTTTCTATAGTTATACTTTATTTAGAGATAAAGGTATATGACTGTATATAATCACTCTATCTTGCTTGAGTTTATAGCCGTTTCGCTTTACTTCAGGACGCATAATGCCGCTCTGAAGGTCTAATCGCTTAAGTTATCCAGAGCTGTATGAATATACAAATCTTGAATATCATAATATTAATAAATATTACAATTGTAACAACACAGACAGCAACACTTATGCACAATCGATACCCAGCTGATTCAGTCATTTCATAAGAGGACAGCGCTTCTTCTCTTCTTTTTTCCTTGTCAACATAAAGGCAGTGAGATGCGCCTTGTTTTCGGCTTATAAAGCATGTATGCACATTAATGCAATAGCATATTTAAACAACAAAACTGTTTACAAAAAGTCTACATATGCGCGCGTGTTGTTGTCTTTTCATCACGCAGCACGCGCACTTGAACCGCGAGGGAGAGAGAGGAAACCATCAAGACATATTCATTAAAATAATGATTTCTATTACAATGAAAAAGGTTTTGTTATTATAATAATAACAGCGGGACATTAAATAAATGCATATTTTCCGTAGGGCGGGCAATTTGAGGAAGACTGCGATTTTTATTTGACGGAAGAAAAAACATGATTGGAAAAAAACATCCTATGCCGGTTATTAAAAAGAATCAGTCAGTATTTTCGTTTTGTAATATAAATTAATTATTTAAATGAAAATAATTGAGGTCAGTCCTATTTATTTTATTCATTTTATTTAGAATATTCTGCTCTTCTGTGCTAAACACTGCAGGTGCGTGAAGATGCTCTGTTGTTCTGTTCTGTTATTAATATGCTAGCATTTAAAAAATCAGTAGCCTATTTTCAAATGCAACATTTAATGTGTCCAACACAAAATAGACACGTCAATTTGTTTAATATAAAATTAATAGTAATCTGACCAGTTAACTGTTAATAACCGATTAATGAGCGGCGGTTGTCTGTTAGCAAAATTAACCGAAATGAGCATCCCTAATAGCCATTTAATTTACTTGTAAGAGAACTTGATTGAAAAATAATTTTTAACATGCTTGAACCATCTACACAATGGAGTTTAGTTCTGTTTGGTTTTTCAAAAGTATTTTGTTACAAAGAAAACAAAAATGATATAATTTTATTTAATAAAAAATAGTTTTAAAAATATTTTTCCCCACCCCACACGAAAAAAAAAATCGTGATACGAATCGAATCGTGGGTCAAAAATCGTGATACGAATCGAATCGTGGGTTTGGTGTATTGTTACAGCCCTAAGACTGATCCAACCCTACTACAATAAATAGACTGATTTCACCCTACTGCCATGTCTTCGTTTTGGAAGAATCCCCCCATCCACTTCATCTTCTCATTTTCCTCCTTTACCTGGGAGACCTACCTGCTCTCGGACCCTCTTATATGCTAACTGACCTGGCAGGAGCCAGGCTCAATTATCTCCGAGCTCAGGGTTCTCTCCCAAACCTGCTAATAGTGTCAAGCAATATCTAAGTGTAAACTCCTGAAATGCTGTCATTTAAAGATACAAAACATACGAAATATGAAAAAGCACAAAAGCATTTTTTTCATTATAAAAACAGAAATAGCATATTAAAATGAATAAGCATTAAAAATATTTCAGAGACAAGTAAAAATAACAAAACTATATTAAAACAAAACCACTTTTAAAGTTGAAATTACTTAAAATTAAATAAAAGTGGCAGCAAATGACAATTACTATATTGCAAAGTGTTCTATTTAATATAATAATCTCTATTTAAAGATATAAAACATACAAACACTTGAAACAGCACAACTTTTTCATAATAAAATCACTAACAGAAGTATGAAAAAATAATTCAGAGATAAGCAAAAATAACAAAATTACATTAAACAGCTTTTTAAGTATTAAGATTAACAATGTTATTGTTTTTATTGCATTCTGACATGATTAGACTAAAACTTATTCAAAAAAAAAAAAAAACTAAAAAAGGCTTTTTGTTATTAGTTACCCACGTGAGCTGTGTATTGTCAATCTATGCTAAGATGATCTAGTAAAAGAGAACCATAATGGCTATAACAACAATAACTGAAGTAAAAAGGATCATTTTTAATGCATAAAATTCCCACATTAAAGCAATAGTTCATGTTAAAATGAAAATGTAATCACTATTTACTTACCCTCAAGTTCTTTTATTCTGTTAAACACTAAAGAAATATGAAAACCTGTAACCACTTCCATAGCAGAAAAGAACAAATACTATGGAAGTCATTGGTTACAAGTTTCCAGCTTTCTTCAAAATACACTCTTTTGTGTAAAGGCTTATTTATACTTCTGTGTCAAGCGCACGTGTATGAGTATGCTCCTGCGCAGCCTTCGCATGATCGCATAGCCCTCGTCATAGCTTGGTGGCGCAAAGCTGTGACCAGTATGAGTGGAATCGAGAACCGCGTGAACTTGTTGGAGTGAGTGTTGGTGGCGCAAGGCTTAGTGGGCTGTGACCAGTATGGGCAGGACCGAGAAAGGCGTGAACTCGTTGGAGCGAGTGTTTACTGGTGTCGAGTCTTGTGAAGGAGCTCCAGATGGAGATGTTTGCTTTTTGTTAACCTTATGATTAATGTTGTTGCACGTCCTACCTCTCAATGAGTGAGTTTTAGCTACTTGTACATTAACGTAGCGTTCAGGAAAAACAAAGCACCCACGAAGAAACACGTCACAGATGAACATAGAAACCTACTGCCAGCTAGCGTTTCAGAAGTGTGATTGCAGAGCAACACAAACAGCATGCAGAAGTATAAATGCACGACTACGCAGAAGACAGGCACCGTGAGTCACGCCGATCACTCGACGCAGAAGTATAAACCAGCCTTAACAGAAGAAAGACAAACAGGATTAAAACAAGTGAAGGGTGAGTAAATGATGACAGAATTTTCTGTTTTAGGGTAAACTACAGTGAATAGTCCGGACTGATGAACGAATCACTGGCACTACCTTTCCTACACTTCAAGAAATGTACTCTTTTAGATTGAGTAAAAAGGCATTCAAAATCACTCTGGACGAATCGCACCTAGCACACTAGCCCCTTTCACACATACAGACCTTTCCGGAAAATTGCCGGCAATTTTCCGGAAAGCTTGTATGTGTGAACAGGTCCTTTTTGAAAATACCGGTAAATTCGTTCTGGCTATTTTCCGGAAAGAGAAGTTGTAACATTACCGGCAATTTGCCGGAATGCTGCACTGTGTGAATGCAGAAGGAAGATTACCGTAATAAGCGCGTGCACGTCTAGAACGTGCTGACGTGAGACGTCTGCTTTAGCCAATCACAACAGTCAGACGCATTTACGTCCGCGCAGTTTGTGAGAATAAAAGCCTTTGAATATTTTTTCCAGACACATTTAGCTGCTAGAAGTTAGTCAGATCACGTTTTTTATGTTCTTCTTTATGCCAAATGTGTAAATAATCATCGATGACATGCTTATGATAAGCTGTTGTTTGTTTACCTTTAAGCTTTGCGTGTGCCTTTGAAACGCCTGCACACGCTTATATGAACATCTCGACATGAGAAAGTGATCCTGCGAAAGTTGTTCACAATATTGATCATCCACAGAGTTTGTAATTTAGTCAAATGTTTACAAATACAAGCGCAGCCGTTTAAAGCTCATTTGTGGTGAATGATGTCAGAATTTACCGGTATTTTGGAATGGATGTGTGAATGCTCTTTTCCGGAAAATTTCCGTAACGTCCTCGCCTGTGTGAACATCGCTCTTTTGAATATACCGGTAAAGTCGTTCCGGAAATTTTCCAGATATTTACTGGTATCACTGTGTGAAAGGGGCTACTACCTGTTCCAACTGTTACTGTCTGGTCGGCACTTCAGAGCACCAAACACAAAAACAGCCAGACACAGGAAAAGTTTATTTTCCTCTGGCCATCAACCTCATGAACAGTTAAATATCCACCAACTGTGCAATAAATATGTGCAATACTTTCTCATACGCACTTGTACACAGCACACCATATCAATATACAATGCAATACTTTCTACATTCCCATTTGTACACAGCACCTTATAACCTGTTTATATATAACAAATCTATACAACTCAACATCCAGATTTCTTGACTGACTGCATCTCTGTTTAATGTTTATCGTCTTTTTTCACATTTATTTTGTGTTGTCACTTGATGTACACTGGAAGCTTCTGTAGCCAAAACAAATTCCTTGTGTGTGTGAAGCACATAATAAAACAGATTCTGATTCTATCCCTTTTATGAATGCATATTCTTTAGTGGCCAGTAACCAATAATCCAATGATATGTTGTGAATCCCAACTGTCTTTAGAAGACTCAAACCAACAGTTTTGATTAGTTCATCTCAGCAAGACTTACCATTTTTGCGCTCATTGAGAGGAGGAAGCCTCTGGCTGGGGTGCAGGGACAGTTCACCCATCTCATGGGTCACAGCCTCACTCTGTGGGCTGGGTGCCAACAGTCCCCCAATCGCAGCATCCCCCTGTTCCTCCATGTCTCCTCAGTTGAGGAGTCAAGGGTCTCTTGGGGGATCAGCAGGAGAAGCGGACACAGGAAGCTCGTCACTTCAATTTCTGCAAAAGACAATGTTAATATGCATTACAGGTCTGCAAAAAGTTAGCAAAGGAACTTGGTCCAAGGTTTGCAGGCTGTGTATTAGCGATCATAGTTGAAATGGAGAGTTTGGGGATGATGTAATAGGTCAAGGATGTGGTGGAGTCTGTAATTTCACTTTAGCCTTTATAAACACTGAAGATGTGTTGAATCTACAGCATATACAGTTGCTGCTGTTGCATATATAGATCACAGCGCCAACAAATAATAAAAATGAGCCTCTCCACAGACGGTGAATGAATAGACGTTGTGTTTGCTAGCCTATCATTACTTTAACTTTACATCATCCCAGTGGTTTAGATGTGAAACCAATAAAAACATAAACACAGAGCTCACCATGGTGCTGTAAAATGCTAGAATACACTAAGACCACATCAGCGCAAACCACAACCATTCATTCCCATGAAACGCTCACCATTTAAAACCTCTTGTCATGGCAAATGAGGGGATCATTTTTCAGCTGTTAATTTTACAAATATCAGATCGATTCATAAAGCAGAGTATTTCAACTCAAGCAGCAGTGATACGTTTTCACTAACTAACAAAGTGAGGACTTTAAGCTGCCATCTGTGAAAATAACAGACCCATATTACCAAAAAACAAGAAGAAATAACTTTCAATAAAGTAACTGTCTCTTTCAGAAGACTGATCCAGCATTTCAAAGAGAATGGCAGATTTTTAAGGAGGAATGGCAGCTGTTTTGACTGGTTTATCAATGACTCAGGCCATTTACACAAAAATGCATTGAGTAAAACATTGTGGGACATGCGGTCACTGGCCAAATAAAGATCCCAAAGCATATTTGGACATAGAAATGGAGAGTACTGAAAAAAAGCAGTATCGCCTGATATGACCTCTGCATAAAGAGAATGTCAGCATTTACTTATTAACCAGTACCTCCTGTGGTCACTGAATACAACACAAAACTGGAAAAACAGATGTATTTTTGCATTTTCGCATTATCTTTTTTAATGATTGTATTCCTGCATAAGTCTTTTAACATACAATGACTGCAATAAACAAAATAAAAAACTAAGCTAGACTGTCACTCTAAAAATGTTATGCTGGGTTCACACTAAGAGCAAAATAAAGTATTTGCATGAACAGAGGCAAATTTTCACTGAGTGGAGCAACTGATTCTCAAATGTGTGGTGTGAACCTGCGGAATATGCCTCCATCGCATCTTAATCGCAAGTTATAATTCAACTTAAGCAAAAAAAAAATGATGAAAGACCTATCCTGCGAATAATCCTGTTAGCATTTGGTGTAAAGCCAGCAATAGACTGATAAAGAAACACATGACTAGGGCTGCACTATAAATAAAAAATGTATGGTTGTTATTTCACATTTTACTTATACACTGAAGACTACTGGTGTTATTTATGTTCGATAACACTTTTAGATTTCCCAGAAAACAATAAAGCATTGTTTATTTAAATTTTCTTTAAGCTCTTTTGTATTTGTGTTTGTTTATTTTTTTATACATGACTCATTCCCATACAGAATTATCCCAATCAATCTAAATGACTGAATTCCTTCTAAATAAACCAATTCCAGCCATCTGGTGAAATAGTTTTCATATCGTAAGCTAAAAATTGCTGGAAAATGAAAATATCGCAATGTCCAATATTTTGCAGCCCTAATACATGCTCTTTTATTACAGCATAGAATACCAAGATGATAATGTACTGCAAGACCAGCATCGAGATGTGTATTGAATACTTAACATGAGTTCAATTTGTTACATTTCTTATTTGTTTTTTTAATATATATATATATATATTAAATATATATATATATATAATATATATATATAATACTAAATCTACAGTTTAAATCAGAATTATTAGCCCCCCTTTGTTTTTTTTTTTCTTTTTCAAATATTTTCCAAATGATGTTTAACAGAGCAAGGAATTTTCACAGTATGTCTGATAATATATTTTATTCTGGAGAAAGTCTTATTTGTTTCATTTCAGCTAAAATAAAGGCAGTTTTTAATAAAAAAAAATGTAAAAAATAAGGCCAAAAGTATTAGCCCCTTTAAGGTATATTTGTTTTCAATAGTCTACAGAACAAACCATCGTCATACAATACCTTACCCTAACCTGCCTAGTTAACCTAATTAACCCAGTTAAGCCTTTAAATGTCACTTTAAGCTGTATAGAAGTGTCTTGAAAAATATCTAGTCGAATAATATGCATTGTCATCATGGCAAATATAAAATAAATCAGTTATTAGAAATGAGTTATTTAAACTATATTTAGAAATATGTTAAAAAAATCTTCTTTCCGTTAAACAGAAATTGGGGAAAAATATACAGGGGATCTAATAAATCAGGGGGGTTAATAATTCTGACTTTAACTGTATAAACAAATGAATCCACATGAGAAAACATGATGTTAATGGCTACTAACATAACCAACAATGTAGGTTACTACCGCACACACATTTAGACAAGTGTGCATCTACCACTATCAGGCCATCCCTCAGTGTACTCTTACATAACACCCCCAGCAAATGCCATCTACTCGTTCACTGCATTTCCAGATTTCAAACGCTCTACACAGTAACAGCTTAGTCAACACAATGCACAAATTGTTTATGTTTTGAAAATTCGGCACACTGGAAGTGAAATCAAGTCTGCTATTTGTCCTTGATTGTCAATGTTGCTAGGATACAGCAGCCTCCCACACAAATAAACTCAAGCTGCTGGAGCGCTCAGTCTCTCAGCGCTGCACTGTTTGGTGATCACTCAAACAGGACAGGCTCAGTTAGAGGTTATAGCATTCGTAAAAGAATGAAAAGTTAAGAAATAAACACTACAATTTTCGTCAGATTTTTTAAATTAGCCGCTTAATTGTTAACCACTTATAAATATTTCTTGAAAACCAAAACATCCAAAGTAAGGTTATAAAATAGCAGACTTAATCCTGGCACACTGAATGCTTTCCCCTTTTTTTAATTTGTAAAGATAAAGTTAATTATATATAGTTATAATGTACTGTAAGTCTGCATAATTAATCGTATATTTAAACCAAAATCCCGATTTTGAAAAGGTTAAATATATTCAAAATCGTAAAAGCTGCAATTTTTTTCTATTATTACTATGGCTATAGGGAGGCGAGCACGAGAAGCTTAATTAGAATGTGCCTCCAACTACTTAAAGGTTCAAGACACCCTGGACTAATTTAGTTGATATTTTAACAGATTTGTGTGTGTTGATCATCAGTTAAGACAACGTTAGCACCTGTCAGCTTGTGGGGAAAGCTGGATAATTTGGAGCTTTTGTAAGCTAATTTCATCTTCCGGGTTTAAAATCATTTTTGGAGCGGGATCACTCGGTGAGTTTTCTCCACCGCATCTAACGCAGATCAGCTATATTAGTCGCACATTAATTGCGGCCGTTTATCTGTAATTGCGTCACTCATTGGTGAATAACTCCAAAGCTTACCGTTAGAGCCAATCGCAGACCTTTCTGTTGAGTGCGGGAACACAAAGACCTCTCACAGGTGTTTGAGAACTCGCTTGACAACGCTCAAAAAGCAAGCGGGATAATATTTACAATTCTTTATTTGCTATAAATGCTCATGTTGTTATGTGCATGTACTTTAGTTTTGTATGATAATGAAACAAATTTAAACAAACAAATTAAATTGAATAAAATTCTACTTAATTTTTTTGTTTAAATTCTGCCCAAATAAATTGTTTACAGCCACTTAACGTATTAAAAAAAAAAAAAAAAAAAAAAAAAAGAGTAAATCCAAGGAATCATCTCTAAATATTTTTTTTTTTCAGTGTACATTCAAAAAGATGTTTTCTTTGAGCAGGTAAAATTAAAGGTACAGTTATCTGACTGCTTGTATTAAATATATAAAATAATTAGGCATGGGCCATTATAAGATGACGGTATGATAACATTGGATAAAAATATCACGTTTTCACGGTATCACGGTATTGTGCTCACTTGCTCTAAAGTATATATATTTTTAAATTTTACGTAATAAAACTAAAACATTTTTCCTTTTTAAACACAATATATTTTACTTTAAGAAACATTTATAATATTTTGGAACAGTAAACACGTCAGGCTAAATTATTTATTGACTTTTGCTGTCTCCATTTATTTCAAAACATTTTTTAAAATTAACATTTTGTAACATCAAACTATTTAAAGTTGCATGCATAGTTTATTATTAATATTTCTATGAAAATTCTTTATTTAATAGAATGACAAATTCTATTAAATTTGTCAGCATATGAAATGTCCAAATACTATTTTTAACTGAATAAAATGGGGATAAAAATGTTGTTTTTACTCGCTGATAGTCAAAACATTTTCAAAAAGTTATATCTTATGTATGAATAAAAAAACAGTAAATTCAGACCACAAGTCAACATTTATTGATACCATTTTTCTCTTAAAGTACATCATATCAAAAGATTATCCTAATAATTTATTCTAGTTAGGTTCCAATAAGCGCAAATATAAGAGAAATAAAAAAATGCATGTAAAAAACGCCTTGGGCCTTAAGAGGTTAAAGCAACAACATTTGATTGTGGATATTTATGTCTCTCATCACCTCAATGTGAAATTTCTACCATCACATGCAATAGTGCAGCAACATGCTAACTATGAAATTAGCACAAATATATAAATATTAATAATATTAATGAATGATAATTGTGAATTAAATACTCTCTTGAAACTTAAAAAAACGTGCAACTTCTTTTCACTTTCTTACGTATTTTAGATTCATTTTGTATAAATTCAAATAGATCTTAGTTTTTTTTTTTCATCATCTTAAATAGTGTTTGGTGTGTGCAGTTTATATTGTTACTTAAATGTATACATTTAGAAATACATTTTATGGAATGACAGGCTTGTGGAGCTTATGATTTAGTGTGACCACATGTGAATATTTATGTGTAATTGGTTCAATGACACATGCAACAGTGACAA